AGAAAAGAGTGCTAATCATGCAAAAATGGAAAAAGAAGTCGTTTTATATGAAAATCAAATGAAAGAGGCGATTTAGAGCCGGTAAATTTTCATATCCTCAGAATGATTACTTTGAAAACAAAAAATTTCGATAAATTAAAAAAAGAGAGATGAGTTTCAACTTTGATCTCAACACAGGTTGGAGATAAGCCAACGCAAATTTGTGCGCGGTTATCATGAGAATGGTTAGAGTTCGTTGCTTTAAAGTGATTCATATAGTTAAACGCAGACGCACAAATGTGAAATGATCTAATGTCGGTTTTGAAAAAAATAGATTTGAGAACCAAGAAATGAGTTGATAAATTAACGACGAAAAGAAGAAGAAGAAGCAGCGGCAGCAAAAAATCATCTTTGATCCCGCATCAACGAGATATAACACTCTACAATTGAAGATTCGATGAATGGTATTGACGGGTGGATATGTGTGTGAAGTACGACTCATCATTTTAAAACTGCGTGTGTAAAATCGCTTTTTTAATTGTGGAATTCGATTGAGAGAGTCAATGCGATCAACTTTTTGAGTCGTCAATTGCAACACTTCACGTTATTATTTATTCATTTTTGCAATTATTTGCTTGATTCGCAAGTTGCTGTTGCCTTTATTTGCTTTGATTTCGTGCCACACATACGCACGGTAGACAGACACTCCGTCTATATATGATTAATTTAATCATCCGTTGAATTTTAAAAAGCCAGCGAAACACCAGAAGAAGCTATGGCATGGCATGGCATGAATGTAACTAATATAGATGTTCATCACATGCAAACGAATCCATGGCGAATGCATATAATTAGACATTTTGTCTCTCTTTCTGATGACGTACTCATTTTCCACCGACACTCTCAAGCTCCTCGATATATGTGTCGCTTCTTTTTCTTTCTCTCTTCCAAATACATACAATCAAGTTTGGGGACTCGCGCGTCATTGGAAAAATATTTATAGTCTTATAATGAAGTTCATTCATTGTACTGACGCACTGATCTCTTCAATCAATTCAGTTTCGTTGAATGTGAAGCAGACTCAGTGTGAGTGTGTGTTAATTAAATGGATGTGCATTGAATGTACAAATGGCTTTGGAAATGATAAAATCGCATTGTGAATGCGGCGGCATGCGCGCGGGGGAATAATTTCAATAACGTTCGTCGTAACTGCGCCATTTAATCGCATTATCTAATAAGATGCGCGCTTTCGAAATACGTGCATAAAACGAGTTGTTTAAGATGCGTTTGTCGACAATTCGGAGTATAACACATTTTCCACCGATTTTGACACGAAATGAAAATATCGAATGTGCGGCAGAAAATACGCCTTTTTTCTTCAAATTGAAGGTACAATATTTACAAAAGCACAGCACAGTTCCACGAAAACGCGTATGACGTAAATAGACTTTCGGTTGTAAATGTTCAATTTTGTTGATGTTTGTGTTGCCAAATATCCGTTTAGTCGGGCGTGTTCCGGATATCTATCTAGCGGTTTCGACGATTCGGTATGTGTTTTCCACTTTTGAATCTCAAAAACATAGTCAAAAACCGTTCGGTTTTTTTTTTTATAACGGAACATTTAATTGCGCAGTTTTATTTAATCTCGGTGAAGCGATCGCATTTTTATTAAATCCGGATATCGTCTTTGAAAAAGATTGAGTTGGTTGCATTGACACATAGGAACGGAAAATACTCAAACAAACGCCTTTTGACGGTTCAAAGCTATTGTGTTGCTACCAATTAACAACACAATCGATGAATCTGTTGGAAAATATGCGCCGAATCGAAAGTGAAATAGGTTTGCGTTCCCATTGAATACTCGTCAAATGATAACACATTCCGAATTTCCTAATTTGTTCAAATGGATTTTCATCATTTTTCATAACTAAATCCAGACCGAACGAATTACAGGTGGGCGTTTTGCGATTACTTAATCACTTGCACAATCATTTTTCGGATGATTAAGATGGCACTTAATCACTTAATCGCTATTATTCATGATTAAGTGATTGTGCAATTGATTAATTAATCATCGATGATGATTAAGTTGTTGTCTTAATCACGATGTCACCGTGATTAACTGTGACAACTTAATCATGATTAAGTAAATTCTTAATCATGATTAAGATGTGATTAACGAAATGATTGTGTAGAATTAATTAATCATGATTAAGTTAATTTACTTAATCATGATTGTGTAAATAGTTAATCATGATTAAGATGTGATTAACGAAATGATTGTGTAGATTTAATTAATCATTAGACGCCATAAATGCAGAAATGTTGAAAATGATTCCCATTTTCCACAATCATTTCGTTAATCACATCTTAATCATGATTAAGAATTTACTTAATCATGATTAACTATTTACTTAATCATGATTAAGTTGTCACAGTTAATCACGGTGACATCGTGATTAAGACAACAACTTAATCATCATCGATGATTAATTAATCAATTGCACAATCACTCAATCATGATTAATAGCGATTAAGTGATTAAGTGGTCGTATTAATCATCGCGAATTTTAGGTGTTTGATTAAGATTAATTAATCTTAATCAAATAGTCCGCCCATCTGTAGAACGAATAAGCAAGCGAACGAGCGAGCGAGCACATATCATGTCTATGTGAATCGTTTTCCAAATGACGCGCGCGTCTTCGACTGGAGCTGCAAAAATCGGAGCGCCATCCGATTAAATTACAACTGAAAGTTGTCATCGCTACTACTAAAACAATCGCAAACATTTCACATATATGTCAATTTGTTTCAATTTCTAAGCCAGTCCAAGTTCTCTATCAGTCTTGAAGAACGCAGAGAAATTCCATCGCGTTTGTTTTAATGAATCGTTGCTTTTTTGCTTTGAATCGGTTTTTATTCACATTTTCGCATCATGATTTATTGATTATTGTTATTGTCATTGCGTTTGATATGATTTCTCACATTTCTTTATCTATATACATGTTGTTCCATAAACAGAATTATCTATATTTGGCTGAAGGCAATGTTGTGTGATTTTCATTTTGAAAGCAGCCCATTTTGTTTGCCTGTCGTTGTGCTGCTGAATCAAAATATCAGGCATTTAGCAAAGAAAGAAAAAAACAAAAAAGTGCATTTGTTCGAAATGCGGAAATAAATATTTATTCAATTTGATTCAATTTGATCAAAGCTCCTTCCGACTGAGCGAACGGAATGTATCGGACAACGGTGTCGGTTTTCGTTTCACATTACACTCGCACTCATTTTAATTGCGCTTACGTAAACAGAATAGATGATAAAGAGCTGTTTTCGTTGAATCGTTTAGTTTATTTATCGTCTTTCATTCCGTTGCCGGTGCTAATTAGTGCGCTGGGAATAAATAGAATCGCATGCGATGTGTCCGACGGCAATGTGTTCGCCACACAATTGAAACGTACAACAAATTCAATAAAATGTCACTGGTTTGCTGGAGCCAGATTAATTTATTATTCGCGATTAAAAATCGTGAAGTACAAATTGTGTATGTGATAACCGCGATGTACTCCAGACATGCATTTCAAAAGCCACCACACTGACCAACCAATCGTTTTGTGCTTTTGGTAATTAAATTTTGCACACTAGACTGATACGGATTTGTGCCGTTGAGAGTTATAGGCCGAAAGTGTTGAATGCCCAACCGTGCCAGAATGTGATAAGAAAATCCCAAGGAAAATTATATGTTGCGTAAAATGAAGTGAAATCGACGCTGTGATTTATACGCTGAATGCCTTCACAAGGCTTTAAATAAATAACGCACAATGTTGCGATTTCACATAAATCTCATCACACCAATAGTAAAGACTACAACAGACAAAGAAAAACGTGACTATGTTTGAGCTACTGTTTTGCCGGCATTGCGATAGAGAGGATGTTGACAGCACGACCGCCATTAAGCCTATAACAACAGTTAGCGACAGCGACTTTTTACTCACCTCTTTTTGTTTGCGTTCGCTTTTTATCTTTTGTGTGTTTCAGTTTTAGTATGAAGACTTAATAACGTACATGCAACGTGGCTATAAATAAAAACGAGACTGCGGAAAGAAATGAAAGCACACACAGTGACAATGCAACAAGCATATATGCAATATCTATGCTTCGCTTTTATTTGATGTATCTGAAAACGGTAGTTTACACCGTCAAACGGATCAGACGACTTTATTTCGGTGCTGGTTCTAGAAAATTTTACCAGTTTTAAAGGTTTTCTTCAGAAAAACTTGCTCTTTTTCCCAATTCACGAAGAACTTTTTTCATTTCGTTTTTTCATTGCCTATTTACTTCTTTCTCTTCAGAACTACCAGATTGCATGTGGCCCAAAAAAATTGGCAAGATACTCCCCCGTATTGCTCCAAAGCGTGCTCGAATACCAGTCGGCGCCCGGTGTTTGCAACAAAACCAATCCGTTACTTAAAATCAGCAAATTCCGAGTAAAAATATTGTGAAACTGTGTAAAATTAATTGCATCCGTAATTCTGACGCGCATTATGAGTGTGGTGCATTATCATTGCTAGCAAAAGATAACTAAGTTGATTCACTGAGAATAAAAGTAACTTATTAAATTCTTCGCCAGTGTAACCACAACACAAAACAGTCGCCGAACAAAGCGAAACATAGTTCTGTTACTCGATCAAGAAGGAACATTGGATTTTTATATACATTTATTTTGTGTGACGTTTTGTTCGAATAATTCTGTTATTCGATGTGATGATTTGTGTTCGTTGAGTGGGCAAGCGAAGAGTTGAGAAGAGGCAAAAAAGTGAACAGAGGAAGAATGCCGCATGCAAAAATGAATCCAACCCAATGTAACCAAATCCAGTTAAAATAGCACTTGAATTACGGCGGTGTCGGCATGCAAACCATCAAAAATAATGAACCCAAAAATTTGGCATCAACATATTGATGATTTTATGCGTTTTATGCCGAAAATGAATGAATGAACTAAATTAACAACTAAATGCACTTACGGGAACGCATTCACACATTATACAATACATCACGCCGAACGGTGGTCCCAAGTCGGCATACCATTTCGAGCCTAGTTCACGCAACGTTTTCCCAAACAGACATTCTGCAAAACAAGAAGGAAAAAAAAACATAAGAAATTAATTAAATTTATAAACGGAAGGCCATTCTTCTGCCCACAAGAGATTATTTGATAAAAGGTAATTCCATTTCTTCAAAAATACCGAAAGATCATTTCTCTACGGAGTTCATGTGATGCCTCCTTTTTTGTTAATACTTTGTTCCAAACTTGATTTTGTCGTGAAGTTATTTTAATTCCATTGGAATCTTTTATCACACCAACACAATTTCTAAATGCTCTCCTGAGTAGTTCAATCGACTTTTCTTTTTAATTAACACAAAAAGCAGACGGAACATTTATCGTTTGATAAGTAAATCTAAATGAGTCAATCTATACTGAAAAAAAATATTTTGTCATGTAGTAAATATGCAAAATATGAGAGCAAGCGTCGGCAGCCGGCTGTTCCGAAATGAGCAGTGTCATGATGTTTATATTCGTTTTACTTCAAAGAAAATTCGCTTTCGCAACAAGTTATCACATTTGGCGCGGAAGATACCAGACTGGCAGCGTACCATTTCGGCTATAATAATTTTTTAAAACTGTATTTTTCTGTTGCGGTGTGAAATTTCGCACGCTTATCCCGGTGTCTGTCGAATTGCCGGTCGATCCTAATTCAATCATCAGCCAAATGTTATATTCAATATAAAAACACATGGGATGGAAAAAGATATACTAGTCTACTGTTTATCTAGGCAGAATACGCAATTATAAACTTGGACCATTTGCAGAAATGCTGAAAAAGACGAAAAACATGAATATCTTGATTTTCGAATAAGTGTGGCGACTTTGTGGAATTTCGACCATAGTCAAAATTAATTTTTCAAAAAATTCTTTCCTCGTATTAGCCGCGTCGAATCCATTTCTTACTTCACTTTGCTCGCATTTCTCTTTCCCCGTTTTATCAAACATTTGTCATTTTTACACTGCCATAATTGTGTGCGACCGCAGATACGATTAGATGAGCCCCATAAATAAGTAGAAATAACGATCGTCGTCGTTGTCGTCTTCAAACGTGGAATTTTTGCAAAATCACCACGCATATTTTTTGCGTAGTGTGTAGAAATACTTTCATGTCGAATTCGATTTATAAAAGCGAAATATAGAAACGGCCGAACGATGATGATCTGTTCGCATTTATCGAAGATGTGTTTCATGTTTCATGCCAGTGATCATTTTAAAATTAATCTCTCTTGTTCGCCTCGTTTTTTCTAGTTTGTTATTTCATTCGAGTTTATGACATGAAATGGCGCCAATCATTTGTTTATTCAAAGCAACAACAGAAAAAATCAAGTTAGCTTAACAGCCCGCATGCAGACAACAAATTCTTCATCTCTTTCGCTGTTTTTGGATGCTGTTTGCAATTGTTCCAATTCATTGTTCTGAGTGTGTGCGCACACACGCAGGGCAATAACATGATTTTTTTTTCACGAGTTATTTTCATTGATTCTGCGGTTGCAAAATGCATAACCCGAATTGCTGTTGATGCTTTCCAACGAATGAAAATGGGATTTTAATCGATCTTTATGTGGCTTCGATAATTGGTTATAAACTCAAAAATTACGCGCACCCAATTTACTTGATGGCTTAAATGGCAGCGCGAATCAACATAGCCATCAACTTTAAATGAAATGAATGCTTTTAGTTTTCAATTTAACATCTCGCCACTAATAACATTGTTTTTTTTTTCTCTTTTGAATGCGCCATATTATTGACGCCTTACGATTGAAACTGCGTATTACATCATACACTAATGTTACACAGTCGCCTTCGAGATGCGCCAATAAAAACTCACTCACCGAAGTGCGCATAAAAAAATATTTAAACATCAAATTCAATTGAACTGATGGATCGTCTTTTTCGAAATACGATTCTTTGGAAGTGCCAAAGTAAATGACTGTTGATGTAAATAAATTAACAAATAATCAACATCACTGGCAAGAAATCTGTTGCTGATGCCAAATTAGAAATTGAGTTTGTATAGATAAATTAATTAAACTGTCGAGTCCATTTCTAAGAAAACCCATTCAAATTCAACAGAAACTGGTAAAGTCTGTGCAATAGTCACTGCCGCGTGAGATCATGCAAGATTTGTTGCGAATGGTACACAGAAAACTACATCATACCCTTTTTTTATTAGCTATCTAAAATCGAGGCTTGGCGGGAGTGTGATGGCGTCATATCTTGCGGCCCAACATACGACGTCAATAAATTGTCTGGTTTATTTTGAATTATGACAATAGGAAATTGGCTGATTGCGCTTATTTCGTATCGGGTCAAAGTATCGATTATTGATCGAACATACAATCCAAGAATGGGTAACATTTTATGTAAAGTAATTGCCCAATAAATAGAAAAAAGAGAAATATTTATTTCTGAAATCTCCCGAAAAAAATATGGTTGAGATTCAATAGAATCATATGTGATATGATTTCTTCGTAGTGAGCGAAAATACGAATTTCATTTCTTCGCTTAATCGCTTTGTCAACCATGAACGAAACGATCACGACATCTGCATGTAAAGAGAACGAAATTTTTGCAAAAACTCATATATTTTATAGTAATCTATGCGTGGAATCTCCGAAAAGATATTTTATATGCGCACAGTTGGCAATGTTCAATATTATGCGTGCATTTTTCAGAAAGGCGCGTACACATGAAAGTGACGCACTCGCGCGATATCGTGAAAATAAAAAGCAATAAAAATGGTACGCGAAGATGTAATTCTCTCAAGCAATCTCAAGAACGAAACGCAGAGAACCGGGACAGTTCAAGAATATGTGAATAAACGGAAAATTGGACATAGAGAAAACCGGCGAAAGAGTCTCTTTTTCTCTCATGCGTATGCAATGCAAATCAGCCGCAACAATTTCGCTGCAAACGCGAATTTCAGTATATGACATCGAGGTGCTTCGTTTTATAAGAAAAAAAATTGCCATGAAGAGGAAACAATCAAGAATTTAATATTTACCACCATAATCGGAATGTTCGCTGGCGAGAGGCCATGATTGAGAACATTAAAGCTAAAAAACGAACCAGCAACAATTGCATTGTCAGCACTGTTCTTCCTCTTCACATTTTTGCATTAAGGAGTATCAAAAAGATGCGCCAAATCTGATAAAGTGGCACAATTTTGTTCCGCTTTAATGTATACTATAAACGCATTCGTATTTCAAATTTCAGATTGGCTCTCTCATGAAGGTCTTGGCTATGAGACAATCGCGAAGACGACGCCTTGTAATTCGACTCAGTTCACGTATTCGCCTTTTGTATTCGATTCACATCACACGATCTGAGCTCGGCTCGGCTGTTCGTGCCAACAATACTAATTGTAAGTGAAGTGACGATTTACTCAGGATATTATTTTGGACATCGCGCTTTCAATGCGATCATTTATTTGAATTGTTTTTACAAGGCCGTACGTATCCAATTTCGGTCAATTTGATTTGTATGCTATTTTTCTTCTTGAAATCTGAAACACAGAAGAATGTTCTGCATAGAAAGTCGCACATATACACAGTTTGACATTTAAAGGCCAGTTGCGCTTTGAATCACTATCGCAAAGCATTTAAAGTGATGCCAGGCATTCTGGGTTGAAATGCAGCTTAAAGTCAATGCAACGATTAAAGTTTTTTTTTTTTGCACAAAAGCGTGCGCTTGAATCTAAAAGAGCAAACGAGAGAATCGATCGCATGATTACCTGCATATCGCGTCGAATGATTGGTACTCATGGCAGCATTCCTTCGAAATAAAAGTCCACTTATCAGAGCAACCAACCATGTGCGGAAATACGATCACCGCCACACAAATGAGAAATGCACGGCGCGCAGACAATCAATTCTCGTGGCACGAAACGATTAAAAATTTGTTTGCGGCAATTATTTTATTGCCTGCTCTGTCAATCATCGTCAAGCATCGAGGTTTTTTTTTTTCAGTTTGTTGCCCGTTTCTTTGTTACTATTTTTCCCATGTTCACTGGGTGAATTGATAACACTTGTTTTTTTCTATCCACTTTGATCTAGAGCTGTTTTGTTAACTCTAATTGTACCCGTTTTTTTTTTTCAGTTAGTCTGCGCATTAACTCTTGTTTTGCCGCGCGCATTTTCAAAAGATCAGTGCAACAAAGTAGCTGCAAAAAATTGCGTATTCAACTATATTGAGCTTTGTATCTGGTTGGAGAAAAAAAAAAAATTAAGATAACGATATGTTTTCTTGTGACAGGTTCGTTGGCTTTTATTGCTTTAGGATCGCATTAATTCGTCTTTAAAAATAGTTTTCAAACATAAGTTAGGAGCGCGTGTTGTGTTGCGACATAAAACTAAAATTCATTCAGTCGATGTCCATTACATTTTTCAGCACAAAACAGTTGTACAGTTAATAACCTGATCGGAATTATCGTAAATATCCGATGTGTTTGCTGTTTTATGGCTCTTTTTCGCTATAAAATTACCATCATAATTCCAGTTGGATGGTTGTATGGGTGACAGGCCCATGACTTTGATCGTAGAAACACACAGTGTTTGATGAGTGCGAGAAATTGCTGTCATTCAAATATTAAAACTTTGGCTGAAGAGCGGATGCTAAACGGATCTGCTGTGATTGGTGATCACACACAGACCTTTATTCATTCGTGTACCAGCCCATACTCACATTCAGAAGTAATGGCGAATTTTTATTGCATTCATTCTAATTGAAATATAATTTCCATCTGAATCGGTTAGACGCGGCTATTTAGGACTTTCCTGTTTGCGTAATTTTTGCAATTTTCGCTTTTGCCATGCCCATCAAAGTGCCCATTGTATGCATTTGTTCTATTCAAAAACAACAATATCAAAACAAAAATCCTGCCAATTGAAATGATTACGACTGTCTCAACAGCAGCTTTGTTTCATCGAATCAATAAGAACATAAAATTCGTATTAAATTGTGCTGTGAATTGGGTACGATGTGAATGAGCAATAAATTCTACTTTAACTCTAACTTCATCG